GTTGTTCTTATTTTGATTCTGTGTGACCCCAATTAAATTTTCACTAACTTTAAGTTCATCCATTTCTTCCCATACTCTAGCAACCGGTACATTGTCATACGCCTTCTGAAGATCAGATGAAACCCAGATGAACTTCCCTACTCTCCTTGTTCTCTTTCTATAAGTTGTTTTAATGTAAATATATTGTTCTGAAACGACCTGCCGGCAGTAAAACCACATTGTTCTCTCCTATTTTTCCTTTTATCTCTTCTTCTATTTATTTCGTTTATCTGCTGTACAGTTCCAACCGCTAGATCCAATAGCTGCTATTCCTCTGTAGTTTGCTTCATTGTCTTCTAAATCCTTTCTTATGGCTCGGTGTTAGTTAAGACGTTGGCCCCTCGTGACGGAGGATCGCTTCCATTATGCACCTTAAAACGTGCTTGTGTTTGAGCATTTGGTGATTATAAGGACGCAATTCAAGTAATTCTGCCGGTATACCTCTTCGACAAGGTGGGCGTATTGGATTTCTTGGTCTTAAGTGCTTTTTTTAATCACTCTTTAATTCCTTGATTGACTGGAAAGTTTCTGTTTTCTAGGCAGCAGTCTTCAGAAAATACTCCTGTCCATTTTTGATTCTAATGTTTGTAGTGCGATATTATTCTTTTCATTCGATTTAATATATTTCATAACTTTCCAGCTTCTGAGCTCCGTGCTCACCTATAAATTGTTGCTATATAATCGCTTTATTCAGGCACAATTTATTCTTCCTTGAAAACACTTCTTGGTTTTTACGTCTCTACTTATTGCTTTGGTACTGTTAATATTTCCTTTGTCATAAGCCATTTTAAAGCACACTCTCTAGTTCTCTTAATCTTTTTTCTAGAACTTGTGTCATCAATACTCGTTCGGGTATTTAATTTACAAGTACCTAAAGTCTCCTCTGCGGCGTGGTGAACTATTTTTAACGTGTTATATTCTTTTTCTATTGGCCTACCCAATAGTTTAGTTTAAAGTCTTTACTGTAGAGATATGCTGAACTTTTATAGAAAAGACTGCTTAATTTGGTATTGGTAGGTTCATACACGCTTTTTATCTTTCATCATCCGTGTTATTCGTGAAATGTATCGAATTATTTAAACAATTACCAACAATGATCACTACATTTGGCTCCGTTTCCACTTAACATCTTGTACTTTTTTGAGTAAAGTTTCTTTTTAGCTTGGTTACACAGAGGTCTATTAAAACGATTTCAGTGTTTTTGTATGTTGTACCCGGTTACTTCTGAATATCTTTATGTTGGAAGAAAGTGTATTAATTTTCATTTCATACTCTTCACAATATTATAAGTTTTTTCCATTTCATTGCGAGTTTCCTCACCATGGGACCCCAATATTTGTTCTTGTCTCTTCAACTCTGCCGGTTAAAATTCCTGGCAATATTTTCAATGGGACTTTGAATTCGACAAGGGTTTCTTTGACTGTCATTTCAATTCTTTCCTAGCCTTGGGGCCTCATCATTCCACATATATTATTCCTATTGACACATATGTATTTTTCCTCTGATTTTTTACACGTTAATAATACATTCGGTTATATACTCCCACCTTTTTATACATTTACAAATCTTTCACCAATAACAATGAATTCTGTTCATTGGCATTTTCATGTTTTGTTTACACCACTGGTAAAAGGGCACAACTTGCTCGGTATTTTGCTTCCTTGCCTTTCTTTTTTGTTTCAGATTAGACGGCTAATTTCTATAATTTTCTTCTCATCATTTTCTGTATTACTTTTGTTTGTTTGAATATGCTTTGTACATTCCATTTACAATATTAGGGCCCATCTTTCTTTGCCGATGCCTTTTCCCTTTCGAAATGTCCGGGTAATATTATGACTGAGATTTTCGCGGTTTTACGTGCATGAGTACTGGCCCTACAGCAACAACCCCAAACCCGGAGGACCGGAGCTTTTATTTCAGGGGTTTCCCATCCTTAGGCTGATTGCTTCCACATAGCTAAGGGAGTCCCCTGATCCATTCTTAGGGATGAATTAATCCCAAGGTTAGTGAATCACCTTCTCTGTTGGGATGGCATGCACCATTCATACTTGGATGCTTCTGGGGTGCTTACCGCGTAACGACTGTCTACTACTTATAAAGAAATAAGGAAGGAACGATGGAAAGACTCTCTAGCCCCGAAAGCCCTCGTCGGGTCAGAAAAAACAAGAGTTGAACCAAGGGAGGTCGATAGAATAGATGAAAGCATTGTGGCACAAATGTTAAAGATGTCACAATGATAGATGAAGGAACCATAACGAATTGAACACATAGTTATGGGGAAGGACAAAAGATTATTGAAAGAAATGTCGATTAAGATTGGGATGCGATAGGACGTGGTAGGACACGACTTAAATCTGGCGCTCGCTCAGTTTTGTCCTGTCCGACATGGGTGACCCTACAGTAGTCATGCATACGAAAATTTCAATACTAGCCGGCGTAGCCCTCACCTCATGAAGCCAACAAGCCCCCCCCCCGCCGCACCGCACAGTGCTGCTGTCAAGGCGGTGACCCCAGCGGAATTAGGAAGATTTCGACGATTTATAGTCCCTAATTTTTGAATAGATTAAAACTCCAACCTCAGTCAATTGCGCTGACTTCTTCTTCTGAAATCTTCCCAATATAATAGTTTTGTTGAAGAATATATATTATATATATCTATATATATAAACATTAAAAAGTGATTATTTATGTGAATAAGGTATTAGTTAAGAAGAAAAAGATTAAGCTGTTACATTCATTTGAAAATCGATATTTACACGCTTTAGAACGTCTCTCTCTCCTCTATCGTGCCGCCTATATACTGTCCTCCTCAGCCCCGCCCTGCGTCTTACAGGAACGATGAAATCCAAGGGGAGCTCAGTTTAATGGAAACTGAATAAAAATTAAGAGTAATCTTATGTCGTATAGTTACAACAAAATTTACTGCCCAAAAACTTCCTGCGTGAAAAAACATGTTGATGCGCAATCTCTCATGCAGATCGGGCATACGGTTCTACCGCACCCCTGCTGGCCGCTGGCGGAACATATTAAGAACAAGTCTCTCAGCGACAGGCGGAGAATAATGACCGTGATGCATATCATTTAAATTATTTATTTTTAGTATTTGCGTTGTATTAATATTTACCAAACTTTGCCAGGAAACTGCGTCATATCCTGAAGAAGGGCCTGTAAATATTTCGTATCTACTCATACACTCCTTTTTGTGGAATCGATGCCGATTTAATGTCGTTGAATTCACGTTTATTAGTATACATAGGTGATAAGGATGAAAATAAATGAAATCTGGCGCTCTATTCACTTGTTGAACTTAGAAATGGCGACAATAAGTTTTGACATCCTCATGAAAGAAAATTATTGCGTCGTGACACGAAAATTGCCGCTGGGTACTGGGGTTTAGATCTATTTAGATGACGTTTCTTTATTTTCCCATCTATCCACTACTCCGTATGATTGCAGCGCAAAAACAACATTTCTTAAAATCTCCTGGCTGGATCTGAAAGCAAATTGTCGAATGACTCCTCGTGAGTCTCGGGTGTTCGGACCGATGGACACTCGCAGTTCTTCCCCCATACTCTACTGCGATGATTGCAGTCGATATTTGTGCCAAGGTTGCTTTGGTTTATCTAAAGGGGTGTACGCCAAACGATTTACAACATTTTCAGTACTATTTAAAGTAGATGTTTACATGTATAATCTTTTCAATAAATATTTACTATACATATTTTGTCAAAATTGTTTTTCAGTACATATTTTGTATGCTTTTTTCATTTCTTCTCAGTTTGTTTGGAGAGGACCTAGACCCGCAACTAAATACGTTTCAATAAGTTGATTATCAATTACTTTTTCCAAACTATTATAAACCTCGCAAATAAATAATAGTAGGTATATTTTACAGTAATATAGATATTTTATACAAATTCTCATATAAATTCATTAGGATAGCAAGGGAAAATGGAAGTGTTATATAGGTTTCAACATAAAAATAAAATAGAAATTCGCAGAGAGAAAGAGAGTTCTTATTTAACAACACTTATACACAGCAAAAGATATTCTGCATTCTTTGCAGCTGTGCGCACAGGCTAGGGCATAACCAAGGGAGGAGAGAAGGGCTAAATATTCCCCAGCTTATTAATACACCTCCAAGAAAGCATGCCATTCTCCTAATAGTTTATCTAAATTTTCTTCAATGTATATTATATAACATTCAAAAAGGTATAATTTAGAAGGTTACCCGTAAAATGTATTTTTTGTATTCTCCCTTCAAACCAACGGCAAAATAAACTGAATAGATTGGAAGAAAACAACTAACGATCCACTTGATGAAATTACCTTCCAAAGTTTTACTACATTTTCACTGATATTATCTTCAGAAAACGTACAAGGTTACACGATAATTCTACTAAATCTCCTCCATTTGGCTACACCCCTATACACAAGTCAAAAAGCGGGCGTCGGTTTGTCTTCAACGCATTAAGACAGTCTGCCCAAGAAATTGGTGCTAAAATACAACATTAAAGCGGCATTGCCGGCGCTCCACCTCTTAAATATGGCAAACAGTTTGCCCTGATTATTAGGGAGCCTGGGAAATGCTCTTAAAGCGCCATGTTGGAGAGATTTATAGCTCATCCATTACTTTTCCACGCACTTACAAAATAAAGGCAAGGTATTGTATACCTGTATTTTGCTTGGGCGCCTTTTATAATATTTGGTATTTCAATTTCACAGATTTCCTTTTTCTTGAAGAATAAGTATCAGAGTTGTTAAATAATAACAAACATAGCAATGGTTTGATCAATTACTTATATTAAATTGAAAAAAAAAACAACTGATGATAAAAGGTAAAACTTTTAAAATGCAAGTAAGTTTTCATGTAAAAAGACCCGTGTTTGCGGCGATGGTAGATAAAATAACATTTTATTCATCTCTATCGAATTTGCTACATGTATTTCAAAAATATAAATGTTATAATTACTGTTTACATATTCAAATGATATCTTCGCTTTGAAATTTAGATATTTATTTTTAAATAATCTAAAAATTGAAAATACATTTGCATGTCATATTGAGTGTAATAATCATAACATTTCTAGGAATGTTTTATAAACAAGAAATAAATAAACGCGAATATATTGAACACCATAAATATTTCAGTCCAAAATGCACAACAACCCTTAGATCTTACCAGAAAAGTAATTATTGATGTTAATAATTCTCGACAGATTTTGACCATGGTATAATTGCTTGCAGCCATTTTTTCAAAGTAAATCTGCTCTTCTCAAACGTCACTAAAAAAAATCCATAGGTTTACACAGGAGATTTTTATTCAAATTTCACGAATGCAAAGAATATGCAAATACAATTTGCGTGCGATGATTGACATATCTGGGGTACATATCATTGCTTCTTACGGTGTGTGATTGAAGGAACCACAGTCAACCTGTGTCGAATGACGTTGGCACACACACGCACATTTGATTCTCCAAAATGTGACTTACAAATATTACAAACATACAGATAATCTATAGGAAACAAACATTGTAATTAACACTGAATACAAAAAATGAGATGTTAACTATCTCCACAATAAAAATATATTTGTGATGTTAGTGAAAAGTTAAAACCAATACAACATTGAACAATCTGACGTGATTGTAGTCCCTCGTCTTACAATTACCGCATTTTTACCGCTCTCACCGTTTAATGCCTGCAACGGGGGAATCATGCTTTACGACTGGGAGGAGTCGAAGGGTAGGAGTTAGTGATTTCGTGTGCCTCGCATTTGACATTTCAAAGAACATAATTTAATAATGTGGGATGCTCATCTTAGAACACGATTATGCTGTTGCCCTCAAATTGTCAATCTTACTTGAGAATCGCAATTAATCTATATACAGTCTCTCATGCTGACGTTATTTTACCATTAATGGTGGTACAAGTTTCCCAAAGACAAGTGAGAAGACGATTTACAAGAACTTACTCGCTTTGCCACATGTATGATTACTGGGGATCTTGGACTATTGATGTGATCACATACCAGCAATTTCCTATGTACTAACAGAATCACATCCGCTATTACATATCAAATAGTACTGAATGTGCTTGTATTTACTTTTATGATTGCAAAACATGAAATATTGTGCAACCTGTGTTACTGATGAATATGCAATTGATAGTGTGCTGTCTTGGGAACTGTCAAATTTAACTCACACGCAACAAAGCATGCCTAGTCGATCACAGTTTATCAGGTCATGAAGTTATGATTCTACAATTACTTTTTTCTAGCATCCTTTCACATAACTCTACAATGACATTCGAAAGAAACTGTACGAATTTACGCTAACATTTTACCTCAGAAAACCCGAGGGATGAAATTGTACGCGGCTAATAGTATATAGATAAAGGAAGAATTTGTTGAATAGCAATCTCCTTTAGAAACAGAGCGCTCTTTCGTTTACTTAACTTCCTTCCCCTTCCATTAACGAGCAGAGAGCATGCATCTATTGTCATTTGAGGTTACCCATCTCTTAAACACAATAATAAATACACATTATTCTCAAAGTATTCTTAGAAAATTCGCAATCCAGTTTGGAACCCTGTAAAACAGAACCGACTGAGTTTATGTTCAAAAGTCAATTAGGCATTTGCCTCGAAAGGTCAAGTTTTAGAATGGACGTTTGTAGGGGGCACAGGTAATTGAACTACTTGGGTTAGCATATTGTTGTACGACGTGTTTTGCGACGAGTAAGAAAAGTTGCTCATTAAAATTTTCAGTTTCTCTTCGCATTACAAAATGCCGAAGAACAAGAAGAAGAAGAAGAAGAACAAGAAGAAGATGCGGGCAGAGTGGCGTTGGGAGCGGCTCGGGCGTTGGCGAGGGCTGAAGAGGGAGGCGAGGAGCTACGTCCAGCTGCCATCTACTCCCTGTTGGCCATGGCACCCTGCGCCTTCATGAAGTACGTCAGCAGGTCAATAGGCAGAGGGAAAACTATCGTCGAGTTCTTCTCCGCAGAGATGGTGTTGAGAGTCTGCAGCAAAGAGAAGAAATTATGAAGCGCATTCTTGAATATAAGACAGATTCATACGAAACGTGAGAACGCCGGCGTCGCTATCGGAATAAGTGTAATAAACTCCATAAACGACACGATGTTTCTCTTTCTCTGTGTGAAGTGCTGGGTCCTCCCTCTCCCCCGAAACGGGCGACACAAATTCAATCAAAACGATTAAGTAAAAATTACTTACAAGGTTTCTGAACGCACTTCCTATATTATTTTGATGGTCATTGTAGTAGAAAACTTTTTAAAATATTCGAATTGATATTGCTATAATATTTACTTTTATGAGAAAATGAAGTTTGATTTTTGATGAACTGGTTCTAAGATTAGTTGAATAACACTTGCCGTATACGTATTGCTGTGTTCAAACAAAAAATATTAAGTTGCTCTCTGGCGAGAAAAGAGAGAAAGAAGGAAGAGACCGGTTTGCGCCAGGAGAGAGTGGAAGATGCTGGGAGAGAACTAGAAATGACAGGAGAGGGCGAGAGGGGTGACAGAGCACAAAACGTCGAGGACTGTTGAAAGAAGGCAAGAGAGAGGGACGATGATAGGACGGTGGGGGAGGAAGCGGGACTGAGAGCCGAGGAAGTAAGGAAGGCATGGCGTGATTGTGGTGAAGGGAAAGCGTGGATGGCGCGTGCAATGGGCGGCAGCGCAGCGCACCTGGAGGTAGCGCAGCTGCAGCGCGGCCGGGGAGTCGCCGATGACCTCTGACGCCTCGCGCAGCGCGCGCGACGCCTTCTGCTCGCCCTCGGCCGCGATCACCTTGGCGCGCGCCTCCCGCGCCGCCTCCGCCTCCGCCGCCATGGCGCGCTGCAGCTGCACCGGCAGCCGCACGTCCTTGCTGCCACGCGACAACTCTCATAAACCATACTCTCATAGTGGAGGTAGCAAATACTGTTGTCAAGATTTTGATGTAAGTACACGTTTGAAGGCTCTTCATACTGAGAAAGGGTTTGTCCGTCCATTCAGTCGAAAACTGCAAAAGTTATCTTTTAACCTGCCCATGCATTCAATATTGAAGCTATAGTTTCTTTTATAATGTATTCTATTATTCCATATTAGATCTTTGGTTATTTGTTTAAAGTCTTGCGTCATATTTATTAATTATTTTATGCACTTTGAATATTTTTTGTGTAATTGTGATTCATACAATGACAGCTCAGTTTTTAAAATCTGTCCGTCACTTTCAAAATGAAACTGCGGATCTCTTTTTATTTCTATTTCCCAACATTACTGGTCAATAATACGATAATCTCTCTTTTCTCTCATTTAAATGGTTTGTTATGTACAATATTATCCCCATTTACCTCTAAATTCATGTAGAATAAATATTCATCCTTCTTTAAGACTTGAAGGTCCGACAGATCTGGTTTCACCAAAACTATAGGCACTACCGCGAGAGATGTCACATGAAAATTAAGAAACAAATATTCATGTCCGAATTCGAACCCGCAACCAACTGAACCGTTGAATCGGTGCGCGCTGATAGCTTCTTCGGTCAAATGGGTCCTTTAACTTCATTGTCCAAAAGTGGAATTTTTGAAACGTTTGTACGAACATTAATTTAGAAAAACCTTGATTTACACTTTAAACTTTTCTTTCTAGTACTAACACAGAGAAACCCTAGCCTTTCAGTAACCGGAATCGTTCAGACCAGTCTGGATAAGTGTCAGGTATTTCAAAAATTACGTTTTCAGAATCAACTTCCATATTTGATTATTATTTTCTTCTCCAACGTTGTGAAGTTTGCATTTCGATTAAACTACTTCAGTGTCACACAATTTTCAACATTAATATGTAGTATATTGGATGTATTGGAAACATTAATAGATCAGACATTAAATTCTTGCATTGGCTCTTGAAGGCAAGAAAAGATATTTCCCTTACGATTGATACTTACATTTCCACACGTTCCACCTTGATGCCCCAAGCATCAGTTGCTTCATCCAAGGTCAGCTGAAAAGGAATTTCAACACGATTAAATAACATTAAATCAAGTTAAACCATAGAATTTTACCAAGATTAACAATTAAGTCATATTATGGAGGAAACACTAGGACAGTGGAAGTTATCGTCCCTAATTGTACGATAAAGTGCAAGAAATGTTGAAAAAATGAAATAAACAAGAATATGAGACAACACGATAGTGCCAAAACCTGCATGTAACTTCAAACGAGGAACATTTACGAAGTGAAACAGTGGCCTGCGACTGTCAGGTGGTAATAAATCACGGGAGACTTTCTTGGCACCAAACCCAACTGCTTCCACGCTCTAAGCTCAACCTAGCGGACAGCCAGAACAAAATGCAGCAGCACAGCGGGACTTCGCGCGGCGCTGTAGTCGTTTGTCAATCGGTTGACATATTTAGCCCCTTCCACAACTTGCGTAGGCAACCGCGTCACACATGCCAGTATTGCGGCCCGGAGACTCGCACTGTCGACGCGGCGCGGCGCAGCGCCTATCTGCCAAATACAGCGTAATCCATGAAAGATAAAGCAAGAAGTAGTAATCGAACTAGCCATGCCAGAAGACTCTTAATTTTTGTTATACACCATGTACTCTGGAGTTTGTAGGACCCCATTTCAATTTTGAGGAATTTGGATAAAGTTTTCTTTTGTGTAATACAGGTATTTTGTTCTAAATAGTTATATTCTAAAGACACTTTACAGTATAACAATCTGAATTGTTTTAATTGTCACAAATATACCGAGTTGGGCAGTGTCTATCCTACCCCCACCCCATAGATATTCCACACACACGGTGTTAATCACAGTTACTTATCTCATGTTGATCAGTTTTTTTCGTAATACGTCATTGAATTAGTGCAAAGAAACTTCTCCAAATACTTCTCCAAATAGATCTGCTAACTTAAAGGAAGTCGGAGGTGCCCATACGGTCCATGTTTAAAGGAGGCCATAATATTTTTTCAGAAACTATTAAAAGAAAAGCTTTGAAAGTTTCACAGTATGTACATTTATTCTTTCTTATCACTTTAATACGGAGACATTTTAATATACAGAATAGATTTTAAAGTATTTTACATTAATTTTTACTGAATGATGCTTATGCGTTCAGATTTTTGTACAGTAACATCTGTAAATTGTAGTATCAGTTCTCCTATGCACTTGAACCCTCCAGAGTCACCATCATCAAGATAATACACATATCGAACACCATATCCTAGATGTAAAACAGTTGAACTACGCCCAAATTTGGCGCATGCATTTATAAAAATGACTCTCAACTTGTAGAGCACGTAAACCAAACATGCCAATTGCTCTTTTAAGAGCAAAAATGAAATTCTTTTCAAAGAAAGAAAAGAATCGATATTTTAAAAAAAAAGGGTGAACCACTCCGGCTACCCTTCGTCCACGTCGAACCCGGGACCAGGGAATAGACAATTTTTCGAGTAAATGATCAACAAATTTCAGCTGATTCATAAACCTCAGAGAGTATCTACAGGCTGGCGGTACAATATGTGCTAAGAAAATATGAGCCATTTTGTTTATTTGAATGAATAATTTGATGATTCACACACCTTTCTAATATCGTATTCGTACTTCACGATCAAAACTATTCTTAAGTTAAGAAACTAATCTTAAGATATGGCTGAATGCTACATTTATTCCCGTATGTAAATACTCAAGGCACTTTCTAATTTTGTTTTTCTATCAGATGACATAATTTTCGTTCGAATATTCGATTGTTATTTTGCTAATTTTTACTTTCCCGTATACATGCGTATATAGTAGTAATATACGTAGTATAGAGAAAGCTAAATATAATGCTACGGAAAATAGATTTCGAGATTTCAACGAAAATACACCTTTTGTTCTCCTCTGATACTGAAAATGTATTTTTTCTAAAACGTCCGTCCGTCCGACTGTCTGACTGTGAGTGTGTGAACATCACTCGTGCCATTAAATCATATTTTCGATTATTGTCAAAATGGATATTTTTCGGTCGATCTGGCTTCACTCGAGGCGCCGCGATTTTGTAAAAACTATCATCAAAATTTGGGGATACTTTACATTAAGCCCCAGGTATATTGTCAATTTTGTTTTAAAAAATCTAAATTTTTCTTTAAATATTTTGTAAGAAAGTAGTAAAATACACTTATTAAGGTGTCGCAGGTCTGATTTTCACGGTTAACTCTATATTTTTGAAACTTGAAAAAGTTTGAATTTTTTCTGCGTCTTCCTACAGCTACAAAATTTTCTAGTTTTCGCGCAATAAGTGCAATTTTAAAAAATAACAGAAACAACATTTTCTCAAAGACTGCTCCAATTTTTTTCTTTGGACTTTTGGTCGGAATAGTGTTAAATGTACTCTATAAGATGACATAAACGCTTTGTTTGTCTATTCTTCTGTTTTTTTCAAGAAGTACATATATTTAATTGTTTTGACGGGCATCTCACGTCATTAATATTTCCGTTAGTGGCGATTTGTTTACATTATTATATTTATGAATACATGCGCTTTAAATAATGTCATATTAAGTTTCTCGAAAACTCAACCATTTTCTGTGAAAACTAGCTCAAATATCTAAATTTTTAAAAACGCTCAAACGCTATTTTCTCAAAAATGGCACCAAATTTCGTCTTCAAACTTTTCGAACGAATAATGCTAATTGCACTCTTTAATACAACGTAAAGTTCACTTCGGTGTAAATTTTTTTGAATAAATACACAACGGAATTTATTTAAAAGATTCTCACGCCATTAATATGCAGATTTCCAGCAATTTGTAAACACTATTGTGAATTTGAGAGTTAATGTTCTTCAAATGACTTTCAATGAAATTTATTGAAAGCTCAAAACAAATTTTGTGAAAAAGAGCTTCAAATTTCGAATTTACACTAGCACTTAAAACGCCATTTTCTTAAACACGGCTTCAAATTTTTCAAAGAAAATGGCCATTACGACAAGGTTTTACCGTCCTTTAATATTCTGAAAATAATATTTCTATTTTACGATTATAAAACCGAAAAAATAAAAAAATATTAAAAAATGTACTTTGAATGGCGATAGAAGTCAGCTGGAAATAGAAAAGTAAAATGGGAAAGTATGTGGTATTCTTACCACCAATAGTTAATATTTGTTTGAAGTAGTTGCAAAAATGTTTACATTTTGTAAAAAATAGTTTTAAAGGTTTCAGAATGTCAATCAAAAACATCAGCCATTTACACAATATTTCTGTTCAGACGAATGGTATTTCAAACAATTTCAGGTTTGGTTGGAGAGTTTTCAGTAAAGGTTCGATAGGGCAACCTTTAAAATACGATTGTCATATAATTACTAGGATAACACCAAACCTTTCGTTCAAAACAGTTTATATTTATACTGAACTTTTCATTATTGGAAACGACGTAAATGTGCAATCGCTAAATATGCAAGTTTCTTCGAATAGGTAATCAAAGAATTTGAAAACTTCGACTTATTTACATACATGTAATTTATATGTAAGTAATTTACATACATAATGTACTATACGTACGTTTCGAGCATGTAGAAGGTCGATTCCATATTTCAACCATCTTTCTATGGCCGTATTATATCTCATGAAGTTTCCAAGAGGAAAGGCCGGCTTGTGTTCTTGGTTCGATGCCAAATTAATCGTCGCGCAATTTAAATCATAAATCTTTATGTGGTTCGTCGAATGCAGGAAACATTATTTTTAGACAGCCTCTAGTAAAAGGGGATACTAGTAGGGCATGAACACAAATACTGAAAGCAAAACGATGCTCTGATGTCCAGCTAAAACTGTGAATGCAACAAAGAAAATACTCTCGCCCGATTAGCTACTACTGATCTTAATGTAAGTATAAGCAATTTAGTGATTTGTGTACGTGAATTAAAATGAAAGTAAAGACAGTAAGGCTGTCTCAAAAATAGTGCATTACACGTAATTGAGGTGTTTTTATTTTTCTCGTAGAATTGCGTCACTCGGCCTGTCGACCTCATGTCGGAAGGTTTCTTACTCGCAAAGTCACTTTCACCACTCCAATCACAACAAAAAGTTTCTATTTTATTAGTTGAAGTCGTGAAATGCATTTAGACTTTAATGTATTAACAGTAGCATAGCACAGAATAGCAATACCATTCCGAAGTCTATACAACACCAACATAGAGGGACGTAACCAGCAGACCTCCGAATAAATTGCAAGACAAAATGTTTATATTGAGAAAGAAGTATTACGAGTGTTGTTACATATAACTTCTGCTAGTTAGTGTTAACCTTAATTTTTGGGAGCGTGACAAGGGCCTACGTGTTGAGTGTTCAAAACCTCTCTGCGTGTCATTCTCTCTGCGGGGAGGCAGATTTTAATATTCTTATTTTGAGGAACTAATTCGATAATCACTTTGAATATCGCTTTATAAAGAACTATAATTGCTACAGATGAGTACACACATTCTCGTACTAGTTTGTTTTCTTATTTCTTTGCTTTGATCTAGCTTTTTCGGTCTTGCCCCATCCTCTTCCCAGCTGCCATCTACCGCCATCAAAAGAACATTTTTTAAACATTTTCTGATTCCTTTTGGTAGAAAAGAAATATTACTGCAAGAATATTAGAAGAGTAAAATCTCGTTTTACAGGGAAGATGTGATAAAAAAATTGGAGCTGTTTTTTAAAAAAAATGACTTCTAAGCTCTTTCTTTCACATTTGGCACATACGTCGATAAACAAGGTTAATGAAAGTTTTGAGAAACGTGTGTATGGGGTATGTGTGTGAGCTGTGAGTGGAGTGTTTAAGAGCAGAATGTAATTGAACGTAATATAGGTAAAATTGGTCAGCGTAGTAATGAACTTAGTGTGCGTGTATTTGATAAATAGTCAAAAAACTGTAAAATATAAGTAAAGTGGGAATGCAAGAGCAATGTGTGATATGACCTCAGCATGTGAGATAACAGGTAGAGAATGTGTGTGAAAGATTCGGTATTTCGAGAGGATTTGTGGCGCTCGTACAACATAGAGAGTTTATCCAAATGATGGAAAACAATAACAACAATTAAGAGATGTGAAAAATCATCGCATTACAAATTAACTTCTAATATGAATGAGCAGACGAGAACATGGCGAGTGTACAGAAAGCAAAGTGCAGAGGGCAAATTGAAAAATGTGAAATTTGTGTGGGACCTAATGCGTTGGCGCTGACTGCGCAATGTTGCGTGAAGGACAGCGTTAATCCTGTGGTGAATAGACGCAAAGGATCAAAAACAGAGAAGAGCGGAACAAATGAAAAGAGAGCAGCGAGAATCCTCGCGTAGAGAGCGAAGTCCATCTCCGAATGCGCAGGCAGAGAATTACAGAACTGGCGCGGAGCCAAGTGGCAAAGCCAAAGAGCAATACCACATGCGAAATCTATAGCGCCATGCCGAGATCCTCTTCTGTGACTTACTGTCTCGGTGGGCCACAGGAACACGCAGCCCCGCCATCGCCGTCTAGGCAATGCATGCAACCCGCCGCAACGTCACGAGCAGCTACATCGACTGAGCGATGAATGGAGCAGGGGTTTCTGGCAACGTATTCAGAACTTTGAAACATTTCGTCCAAATGGAATCAGAACTTAAGATGGCTGGGACTACAAAACGACCCCGGGGGATAATGGAGTGAGTGGCAGAAAACACATAATGGAGGTTTTGAGAAAATATGCGGTTATGTTGGGCGACTTTAAAGTGTGCGAACAGGTAAGTGTTAGTACGTGTAATGTGCTGAGAGTGAACTGCATTCGGGGCGTGTGTTCGTGAGGTGCAACCCGGAGCACGAGGCATCGTGGCCCCAGCCGACAGAGGCCAGGCTCCTGCTACGTCCGTCGGAGCGAGAGAGCTGCGCTCAAGAAGGAAGTAGTAAGTAGAGTTTCGGCAGCAAATAGTCACCATTGCGTCCCGCCGCGCGCCCTACAGCAGCCCCCTGCTGATCCCTCCCCCGCGCCGCTTCCATCTTGCGCCGCCCTCTGCGGTCGCAGCTTATTCAGCAAATATTAGCTCCAGACCCTCTAGAGCAAGCGCTGAGGAAGCGAGTGAGCTCCACACACTGTATGACTCTGTCATTGATGTAAATGCGATTGTTCTGTTCGAAACTGAATTACTGAATATTCCCAACTTTCTGCATACAGCACCACCGCACCCCCCACACTGTGCTATTGCTATTATTGGGAAGGGTTTACGCTACAGTCAGCTACCTCACCACCCATGGCTTTCGAATTTACGTTGACACAAAGGGGACGACGCCAAGTGAAGGTAAAAGTATTAGAATCCAAATTTTACATACTTCCACCAAAGCGTTAGTGCATGCTGCTCCAAAAATAGCTGTTTCGATCAAAGTTGTGCGCTGGAACGAAGGAACGAAAAATACATTTAGTGTTCTTTGAGGGTAACCTACACACAATATATGCATAATCTACCGGGGTTGCATATACTCTGGAATGCAGTCCGCAAGACAATGTTTCTACGTAAAATGAAATTAGCGGGAAAGCATAGTGCGTCTTGGGATAGTGCAGCCAGGGTGAATGGTAGATAATTGGACTTACGATATTTAAGTCTTTCTTTGTAGTTACAAAGGCTTTACGCAGCACAGGGGAAATAAAATACGAAGCTACACTGACTCCTGAGCCTGTTGTGGGCATGTGCAACACGTGTCTGAGAGGGTCCAGGTGCGCACCTGCATGGAGCTGGAGATGGCGTCGCGGTCGCTCAGGATCTCGTGCAGCGGGCGCGTGCCCAGCATGTTGCGCAGCGTCGTCTGCGCCAGCAGGCGCGTCGAGTGGTGCGCGTTCTCCACGTTGGCCACCGAGATGGTGGCGTTGGACACGCGGTAGTACACCACCGCATCCACCGACACCGTCACGCTGTCCTTGGTCAGCACCTGCAACGTCGCCGCCTGAGCCTCGCTTCTTCTTCTCCCACCACTCAGTCAGAGGAACCTCACGTAAGGTTATACTTACTTGCACATTTACAGCATCCAGCTGCTTTCTTTATATCACCATTTTCTACACGAACTATTGTTCGACGTTTAGAATAACTAAACGAAGAATCATTTTACTTATTGCTTTTATAAGAGGTCAGAATTATCATCATTTACATCAACTGTCAAAGTATCAGAAAACTGGTGGTATAACAAAAAGGTCCTATACATTTAGTAGCGTCCGAAATTTGAAGTAAAAGCATCACTCTTCACTCATTTGAATGCCATTCAGTCGTTGAAGGTGAACCAGCTAGAAAGAAGTATTGTCTCGGAAAATTAGATGTTTAAAAACATGTATCAGAATTATAAAGAACACTAACAATTTTTGAATTCAAGCGATATATCAGCAAAATAAATAAAAAATAAACAAATAGAATCGTTATCCGAAAAAATAGTCTAATTGGCTGATTTCGTTATTTTACTGTTAATGTTTTGTGACTGCGAAACAGAGATTGTTGAAGCAATAAGTCAAGAAAATGAATAGCGTTTATTAAGGAACGTAATAAAGTACAAATCGAGAAAATGCAGCAAAGTTTATTTGTATACTACAGCTTCAAATTGTTAGCTCGAAAACAGCACTTTTTCAAAACCAACACTAGACAATTTAGATATTTACGCATAATCTTCAAACAGGAGTTTATATGTGTAAGTTAAATCCAATACATTGGGTGAGGAATCACTGACACAGCTATAGACACATTACTTTGTGCCTGAACGAGTCTCAAAAGAAGGAAATATATCACAAAATGTGTCAATAATGAAACTTACATCTTGAACTTAAATTCTCAAAAAATAAATAATTCGCTTTTGACCCGAACTATTTTGAGTTCCAGATTAGTGCGAGAATAAATGGCGTTAAAGTTTCGGGTTGCTGGTTACAATAAAGTTCCGTTCAAAGAAGAGAAAAACTGGTATACTCGATTCTGCTGTCAATCAAATGAGCGAAAATGCAAAGTAGAATACGGTACATAATGAGGTGTTCCAAACAGTAAAAAACTCTCTACAGCTAGAGAACAAATATTTACGGAAAATTCCCAAGTTTCCCAGACGTTTTCTTTTCAAAAACGTATTACACACATTAACAGTTAAGACGGTTGGAATAAACAATTGCATACCAATAGCACCTTGGAGAACTTCCGTGGGAGGCGCGGTCTATGACGGATATCACCATAAATTGGGATAAAATTAAAAAAGTTTTATACATTTAGGAAGACGACATCCATCAATGTAGCATTATATTACATTCAGTAATGTTGTGTTACAATCTTTACAGTTTTAGAGGTATGGCAATCATCAATTGTGAATATTTTCTGTACTTCCTGAAAAAGTACTGAATTGCTTACTACCTTTCTACTAGTGAACACGTTCGTTTTTAAAGAATGAGTTAAACATACTTTATGTTGCTTCGTATCTACACCGGCAGATACGATCGTGGCGAGTTTGTGGGCAGACCTGACTGAGATTGCACATAGCGATTAAATATGGCGGTGGTTCCGAAATGTTTGGAGACATGCGACAAGCGCCGAAGACGAACCCCTCACACAACGAAAAGAAATGTTGAATGTGACAAATGTTGTAGGTATGCGCGTATAAACCCTTGAGGGTGACCAGCGAATGAAAATAATTTTTCTAAAAATTTTGTAATGATAAAAAGTTCTAAATTATGAAACAGTAACTCCTTGCCTGGACAAAGATAGATGAAGGAAACTGTGTTGCGATCCGTCACGATTGGACTGTTAAAATAAACGATTTTCTAAAAATTCAATAATGATTCAGAAAATTACCTCTTGAGGCGGGACGTCGTATGTGCGTGTACGAAGGTCCACGCGGGCGTAAGCATCGATGCAAGGCAGTATGAAGAATATACCTGTAACAAAATACATTATTTATAAAGCACGGTATACAAGATGAAGAATAGAGGAAAACGCAGCTTTTCGAAACATTTTGTCCTCTTAGTCTCATTAGTCGTCACTCAAAATCCACTCTGTTCGAGATAAAAAATAATATAATTTAACAATATGTATTGAGGGATAATTTGCATTGAGAAATAAATTTCCAGGTTTAATATTTTAGGAGTAGGAGACGTCCAAAAAATAATTAATTTTAAATTTTTAAACTTTCTTAGGTTTTAATGAAAATCGGGACTATACTTATATGAAATCGGTTTGTTCAATTATATCAAACAAATGAAAGAAAGTAATTGCAGTAATTTTCTACAAATATTTTGGAAAAGTCATAGCGAGTTGTGCGATTCTAAAAATAAGCGCAATTAGATATTACGTATTTATTCTCTCGTATTTAGCAACTTTCAGCTTAATCGTATCTAATCTGAAAGAGTTATCTGTGACACATACATACATACTTCCTGATTTTCGTGCCAAAATTGAGAATATCTCCACATTGCTCTGATCCAATCTCAACCATCGGTGGAATTCACCACACAAAGAACCTTAAATACGAATTTTTCGACCGCAATTTCAAGATGGCATTGTTGACGTGGGTCCAATACGATTCCTCAGCTGAGACAGGTCCGAAAAGCAGCATCAGGCGAAATAAAATAGAAAACCAAAGAGAAGGAACAAGTTAAGTTATTAGCAATTTAAGTTATTAGCGACCACTATTGCATTTAACGGTATGGTAACTGCAAAAATGACAACCATGCCTGAGGCGGAGGACACGAACTCGCGATCTTACAGTCCAAGATCGCTACAGCACTACAGACTTAACGATAGCTGCCATTCGTACTGGCAGCCTTCTGTTTACTTTAATGGGTATTAGAGTTCTATCTATCCTTTATGTTATGATTCTCCTGTCAGTGAATGATGCACGTTGTTTATCTATGACCATATTACGGGGGAGGCGAATACGAGAGGGGGTGAAATTCAACATTCCAGAGCACGAGCGTTTTTTGAACATTGGCAGTGACGTCTTGGTATGAGTTAAGTATTTGGAGTTGCGCTTGGCGGTTTCGGCTTGGTCGCTTACCTGGCCCCTTCGCCCCTCCTGAGACGAGGCGCCCCAATCGGAAAATGACTGCTCGCTCGTACTCCTGCACAACCTGCGAAGCAAACGTTAAATGAAAATACTAAATTGAGAAAGAATCTAAAACCGCACACACGTTAAAAGTTTTATTTTTAACTAGTGGGGATTACTTTGCGATCACTATCAGAACAGTTCAAACGGGATAAGTATGTTTTAAAATAAAATGTCCTATCCATGTATCATTTTATTATGAGCACCGAGAAACGGATATTAATATTGCACAAAATCATTTATATTATAAGAGTATTTGTAATACAAAGTATATTTTTGTAATAATTTGAAGCAAGCGGAAGGGCCCGACGAGGCCGACAGGAGTCGCGGGCAGCGTTTGGGCCGCCCGAGCAACTGGATTCGCGTGCGCGAATTGCAAACCTGCAGCCACAACTATAAACTATAAGCAAGCACATTTTAGTAAATGCATATGAATATACATACATTAGTATACGCATAGGTTTGGGTGTATTCTCAAAGTTACTCTGCTTATTCCTCAGTAGCGAAAAACGTAAACAAGAATCAAAACTTAAGCAGACAAGTTCAAGTCTGTCCAGTAGCTACAGCGTGTGGGCAGGATATATACCGTCAATGTGTTCAGGAAGGCAACAGAGTGTGGTTCTGTGTCCCCAAGTGACAGTTGCTACAGCGCGCATTCAAGCGGTAGTGGTTTCGAATAGGAAAAGAAAACATGAATATGCGCCGCTGTGTAGACTGCCGGGGATTGCTTCTGTCACATTTGCAGCAAGTACCCCACGTCCCACCAGCGCAAAAGCTTTTTTTGCCCTAGAGGCTCAAAGGTATGCATAATACTCTTCCACCAATTCCTTAGATTAAATTAGAAGTAAAAGTAGAAGGTAGCGTGGGAGGGCGGTTGATCCAGGCAGGGTAACGTGAGGGCGGCGGCGCGCGGGAGCAGGCGGTCAAGATCGGGGGATGAGTGCGAGGGGCGAGCGGGAGCGGCGGGTCGTGCGGGTGTGCGCGGAGAGGGCCTGAGTGGAAGAGGGCACGACGGGGCGGTGACTTGCCGTCCAGAGATTAATTGGTCGTTGTGTAGTGCAGTGTCGGACGTTGAGTGTTGGCCGCTGAGTGGTGGAACCGGTTTGATAGGAGTAACATCAGATGAGTGAGGTGAAGTAAGAATTGCGGCACGAGAAGCTGATAAAACTGAATAAGGACAGGAAATGCGGTGGTGGCGTGGGCTCGTGTCATAATCGCGCGCCTGGTGTAAGGTGTAGACAGTGGGCAGTGAATCGGGGGGGTAGCGGGATGCCGGAAAGGTTGGAGAGGAGGGTCTGCTGAAAGGACTAGAAGGCACGACGAACATCAATCACGCGTCGTGCGTTCTAATCCCGCGTGAGACACATTCGTACCGGGGCTGGGGTGGATCCTGGCGAATTCATGCGCCGGTTGCGTTGGGCCAGAGGAGTTGGTCCGCGAGGAGATCCCGGCGGATTCGGGGCGAACCGAAGATTGCCGAAGACACGCGCCGCCGTTGCACGACGGCCCGCCGCTTCCAGAGGGAAGCAGGTTTTTTTTTTTTAAACATCAGGTAGCGTTGAGCGTGCACTTGTTTCCAAGGCTGCGGCATTTGCGGATTTGTAAATACTAGTTGTGGGGTAAAGTGTGTTCTCTGATCATTAAAATATTTAGATGTGCAAAAGAATTTATAACGATTATCTTCTTATGCTACGCCAAATTCCTGGAGACCCACTTACGAAATTGTACCTGTCCCTTGCATAATTTATTTGTCGTGAAAGTACCGCTTCCCAGGTACGTCACAACATGTATAATTTTTTCCTGACTTGTCACAGCAAATCCAAATGCAGTTGCGAATTCAGCGTACATTGTTCTCTATAAATAACGCGTTTCAAATTTAGTAGCCGAAAAAATAATTGTATCGCACAGTGTCAGAAGCAGAGAACGAGGGAGTTGAATGCAGACAGACTGCGTGTGCTTAGCGGAGAAAAGGAGACGGAGAGCTGGACAGATTGGATGACAGGCCCATCGGGGCCCATTGGGGAGATGTGAAATGCCACCAACAAGCATGACAGGGAGTGTGTGTGTGTGTGTGTGTGTAACGGCAGAGGACAAAGGACAAGGAGAGAAGGGAAGAGAGCACAAGGTGAGGGGCCCGAGGGGAACGCCAACTGTTTAATTGGACGCAGCTGCGAAGCTCGTGCGCTGGGCGAATGGGAGTCCATCGGTAACCCCGGACGCAAGCGCTCTGGCATCGCTGCTCGCGCGGACGGAAGGAAAGAGGGAGAAGGCATCGGGATAAATTTAAATTGCACTCGCGAACCGCAGAGAATGCACCTGCGTTGGCTCGGCTGGCACCCAAGCAGCGCCCGCGGGTGCAGCGAGCGACAGGGCGATAAATGAGGTAGCATCTATACGCTCTTCTATACTGTTTATCAAAGAATTATTAATATACTGAAATACAGAATATAAATACATTTATTATTATCATTATTATTATCATTATTATTATTATTATTATTATTATTATTATTATTATTAGCCGAAGAAGCCCGTTTTGTCGGACTTTTATCAAAACATTTTTTGAATTAAACAGAATGTTAAATACTACCTATTTCTGCCCTATGGCGAAGCCTACGTCATCTATTCTGTTGTGTGTCCCCTCCGCTCAAAAGGCAGTGCATTGGCAGTTTTCATTTGTACTTAAGTGATTCATGTGAGATGAATCTGATGTGATTATGGCCGCACGATTGGAATCAGCAGACTTTGAACGCGTAATGGTTCTGTTCCACTGCCCCAGTGAAGTTAAAAGTTTAGTAAATAAACTCCCATTAAAAAAAACCCTGGATACGATAAAATAAGCAACATGATATTAAACTAGTGATGCTACAGAATGACACAGACCTCGTAGTGTTTAATTTTCTAATATCTTTGGTCAGGGTTAGCTTTCGGCTCTGCCCCTCCCTGTTGCAAGCTGCCATCTATCCACGCTCAAAGTACTTTGAAATTTTATCAATTTTTGAGTTTCGTTATTGTAGAACTGAAATATTAGCTTACGAATATTATAGAATAGTAAAAACTCGTCTAATATGTAAATTTTCTTTAAAAATGTCAAGCGTTTTTTTAAGGAAATTACGTTTAAGCGTTACTGCAAATGCGAAATTTTAAGCTCTTTTTCTCAGAAAACTTTTGAGTTTTCGAGAAATGACTTTTATGTCATGACAGTACAAGGCGGGCTTTATACGGTTTCGAGCGTTATACGGATAGTAATAGTACTATCCGTATAAAGTTCGAAAAAAATGGAGCCGGTTTTCGAGATATGGAGTATAAGTGTTTTTGAAAATGCGGCATTTTGAGCTGATTTTCACAGAAAACTTTAAAATTTTCGAGAAACTCTATCAGACATCATTTGAAGCATATTTACTCATAAATGCAATAGTATACACAAATCGCTGGTAATCAAAATATTAAAGACTTGAGAGAGATGTCAAAAAATGTCAATTGGATAATCTAAAAACAACAACAAAAAATACTGCAAATTGGTTATTTTATTTGGTATATTTAGCACTACTACTACTACTACCAAAAATTTAAAAAAATATTGAGTCATTTTAGAGGAATTGCAAGTAATTGAATTTTTTCGGCGTCTTTCTACAATTACAAAATTGAAGATAGAGATTTTTTCTTCAAATGATATTTCGACTTTGTAATTAATTCTTTCATTAATGTCATGTACATTTATTTTTTTTTGGAAATTTTAGTGCAGTATTGTGCGCAGTGTTGCGTCAAAAAAAGAATTTCCTCATAACGGCTCCATATTTTTCTTTGAACATTTGGAAGTGATAGTGATATATGTACTGTGTTAAGTGACATAAACGCCAATTTCATGATTATTTTGCTTTTTTTCTTCAAAAATTACAACATTTTTTTAAAACCTCTCTCACGCCATTATACGAAATTCCAGTTATTAGTATAACATAAGTTTTTATTTGAGTGTAGGATTGCTTCAAATGACGTCCAATGAAGTTCCTTGAAAACTCTTTGAAACGTTTTCTGTGTGTAAAAGCTTCAAATTTCCCATTTACAGTACTGCTTGAACGCCATTTTTCAATGAAAATATCTTTATTCTTCTTTAATATTCTTGAAGTAATATTTCGGTTCTTCCAGTAAAAATCCGAAAAATTGAGAAAATTCTAAAAAAATAAAATTTGGGCGGCGATAGATGGCAGCTGGCAAAAGGATGGGGAAAGACCAAAAAGCTAGCCGAGATAGAATATAAGAGAAAGAGAGATATAATATAAGAGAAAGTCTTTGCCATTGTGTATTTACACTATTTCAGTACTATAAGGTATGGATTTTTCATCAGTTTAAAAGATGAATGTTTTTAGTTATTTTACAACTCCATTCTTTTTATTTATTTTTTAAAAAGTATTGTGATAAGTAAATTAAAGTATATGAACAGTGGTCTTGTCCAACATTTCCAACCAGGCAAATGCCGGATATGTACTCTAACAAACGGACTATCGATCGTGTGCGATTTCGCCTTCCTCATCTTTCTACACACCCGCAGCACCCTCAGAAACTCCTATGCTCTCGCCTCCCACCATATCAGGCCTCCGCCGCCGCCCAACGCACGCGCTCTCCCGCGCACGCGCACAGCGCACGCGCCCTGCGCCGCCGACCACGGCCTCCGGGCCACGCGCCACCGATCGACGGGCAAGGAGTCCACAATAATGCATTGGCAGTTACTAAAGCGATTCTCTAGGGAACTTTTTCTTTGCTTTAGGACAGCCTTTTGAATTCCGATTCTGATGGTTAGTGATGTAATTGAAGCTGCCTTCGGGGAACTCTCCTACACTCGTTTAAGGCTTGATGAATGTTTTTGTTCTACTGGTTGGCACTTTACAGTTGCTTTAATTTAAATTTGTGTTTAACATTACACTCATTTGCCCTCCAAGAAACTCTCACTCAGTGGCTCAAATATTATTCTGGACGCATGTTGACAGCATTTGGTGAGTTCAGAAAAGGAGAGATTTATAAATATGAAGAAAACGATATATCACCCCAAGTCATAAAGTACAAAACGTAAAGAGTGTCTCACCTTGAAGCAGACGCAGAGGGAGAATGGGAGGGTGAGGAAGACCAGCACCCACGACAGCGCAGTGAGGATGGCGCCGCAGATGCCCGAGTCTCCGGTGTCTGCGTCGTCAGCTGCAACACAGAAGACGTTAAGGCATTCAACGGTAGTCCATGAAAAGCAAACGCAATACGCGAAGTATGTTGTCTCCGGTTCATCTGCTTTCCATTGACGCCATTACAGTCTCTATGTGCTAGAGAATTTTCAATACGTTTAAGACAAGAATTTCTAAGTGCATTCTGCAATACGGTTCTTTAACGTAAAGAAAGTTAAGCCAGCTGAAATTCAACTTGTATAAACTAATGGTGAAAATGAAATAGTGAGAGACTAGGTTAGAAAGTTCAGTGATAGACAAGCAAGGACGAACAATTCAATGATGGACAATGTTCATGACGAAGCACGGAATGGGTGGTTTCCTGTTGCCAATGATGGTTTGGGGAACACGTGAATGATAAAATTTATGAAAACAGACGGAACGGTTCAAATATGACAAATGTTTTGTCATTATTTTTCACAAATTGCAGCAACGTTTTCGCAAAAAATAGCATTATTCTATGAAGAGAACATAGAAAAGTTAGTTTTCCGTTATGAAAAATGTTTGAACAATGGTGCAAACTATGTAAACAAAAGGTTTACTAAATGCTCTTCAAAGTAATAATAAATTTTGTTTTGAAACAAAACTGTGTATGAGTTTTTTTTCTCCAAATACTTTTCAAACATGCCTCCTTCCACGTGTTGCCCAATAACAAAAATAACTCCTTAAACTAATATCTATGAAGAAATCAATACATCGTTCGAGGCGACTTTGTACCAGGAATCGACGTATTTGTATTTGTGAAACCATAATATTTTTTTACATTTTTTATAATTATTTACAAATGTTAGGTAATTTCAGAGGAATGTTCTTACATAGAAGCCACTTATTTAACCGTATTTGTCGAGGGAGGAAATGCAGTGCTACCCTAAAGGATGGGGTGACACGATCCGCTTCCATATTTTTATGAGAATGTACGCGTATTTAAAAGTATTAAGTGATAAGATGACTTTATACCAGATGTGTAGGGTGTCTTAATAATCACAAGCAGGAGTAGACAAGTGCTACCTTTTGGTGCATTTAACTTCCTAGGATCGATGCCCACCAACATTTAATGTAACACACATTCTTTCAAGTGGTGCGGCGCGCTAAGCCACCCTTCAAAGGGGTCTCTCTCTCTCTCTCTCTCTCTCTCTCTCTCTCTCTCTCTCGACTGAGGAGAACAGCCAGCACTTTCTAATTATTCTTGAAAAAAAGTAATATCTCAAAATAAGCAAAAGTTAAAATACATGAAAAAGAAATGGAAGTAAAATATAAAATAAGTAAGTTAGTGCGAAAGTAATGTCTTTTATTAAAACGTGTCTACTATGATTTTCAAACAATATTATAAATCAATTTAAAATAATATTTGGGGTAATGTACTAAAAATCCCTCTATTTTTGTCCATGAAATAAAATAAATATGAATCGTACATGGCAATACAAAAACACTTCTTCAAAGCAATGTTTATCCCAATGAGAGAATATTTTAAGGTGAACTACTGGGATTGCATGGTTACTTAATCCCCATATTTTTCTTGATATTCACAAATGTTAATGATATGAAGATATAACGGTTCTTTTCTTTTAAAATTAATTATTCTGAAAGAGAGGTTTCCAGAATCAAACGATAAATACATTTTTATTTATTACTTTGCTTTATGTAACATCATTTTAATTTCATCTGAAATAATCATTCGTTGAATTTGATAAAAATGTAGCTCCATGTCTCAGCCTAAAACGTAAATCAATGGTGTATAATTTCCGCCCCGTGCTAGGCGGGCGAATGTTGCGCTGCCCTGCGGACGCCATCGGCCGACGTCGCCATTCGGGAAGACGTTGACAAAGCACACAGTTGCGGCGCGAGGCTCGGTGGCGCGGCAAACGGGCGGGTGGCGCGCAGAGTGCCGGGATCGATACCCGGCCCGGCTGCGGCCCCGACGCATGGCCCGGCGGGAGGGCAGGGCGTGGCCCGGCGGCCTCGGGGACAAGCGGCACGGCCCGTCTGCGGCGTGGCTCCAGCGGTTATTACACTAACAGCTCTCTGGGACACGCGACCTGCTTTTTCGTGGTTCTTCTTATGATAAGCCTTTTTCCGTGCGAACTGTTTGGTCATTAGAGACCCACTCATGACGCATTGCACTAATCACAGTTGCTACTTACGGCCGATTCACTCTACAATGATGACATTTATCGACTTATTAGGTAAATATAATTTAAATAGTCTAAGAACAGAGCACATTTGCGCATTATTACACAGGGTACAGGCATTGCGGGTTACATAATGATTTTTTTGTTACTTCACTCACACACAAGCCTCTAGAGGTGTCTCACTTCCACAGTATTCTTTTCCACATTGTATTTTCCCGCTGATAACGTATTCGTAACGGTTTCGAAAAAAATGTTTCGTACGAAATTGTAGAAAATTTTATACTCTTTAAAATTGAATTCAATAATTTTTCTACAGGACTGAAGGTTAAATAGTATAGAAAAAAGAACGGGAAAAATACAAGTTTTTCGAGCCTACCTAAGTTAGCACAGGGTCTGGTAAGTCTAAAATTTGGGGTTTTAGCTAATGCCTGGGTACATACAACATACTAAAAACAACGTTTTTATGACCTTTCCCCAGGGAAATTATACCTACCAACTGGACTCTTAATATAAGGCATGCATTAATGTCTTGCGTCATCGGCATCCTGTTGCAACTCAGGCACTATCGTGTGGCATTGATAAATTAGATTAGCGTTTGTGACGTGAGAAGCAAGGCATGTGACATTACATCTGGTTAATGAAAATAAACTAGTTCAAAGATGGCAATTTATTACTTGACATGAAAAATGTGCTTTTTAATTTGATAAATTTCAAAAGAAAAAATAATATTTCTTTCCAAACGTATTTTTGATCACTTGAATAATGTTTAATCTTCAATAGAAATTAATATCATATTTTGAAGGAAAGAAGTGAGAATATTTTTTTCTCACATGTATAATTTATTTTCCAATTGGCTAAAAAGCTATTGAAAGCTAGTTTCAATTACGACAGAACTTATGTTTTTCTCATGTTAGATAATCTCTCATGGAAGGCGTAATGACGCAGTGCTTCAACAGCACTTAAAACCATTGCCGCAGCTCATCTGCGTGCAGCAGAGTCCATGGCATCGCCAATTTCTGCTCAACTCAAACTCGATTCCTTTTTAATATTTTGCGAATTTCATTTCTTGAAACATAGACATTCTAAAGGAAACACATAAGCAAGTTTTTCATTCCTGAATGCCAGATGTCGATTTAGCCATAATCGCCAAGGCATTGTATTCTCCAGGCCAGGGTGTACACATGGCTTGCGTCGATTCGAAACTTCATCCAAAATCATACGCATGTACGTTCTCGTGGTTTTGCTTCTTCATACAGAACAAAATGCTCATACAAGCAACGGTTTGCGCTTTGGAGCGCGCTAGTAGTGAATATTTAGCAACACAACGATTGGTTAGGGCTGAATGCTGCTAGGGGGCTGCAACGGCTCCTGTGCACGCACGAACGCGACAACTGACGGCGAGCGCTTTGCGCGTAAAATGAATATGAGCGTTGATGGGTTAAGCAGAGAACATCCGGTCCAATGCCCAGACGGGCAAACCGATCACTGCGATTGCACATCAGTCCTCGGAAGCCATCAGCACATCTTCAAAGGCTTGTCAAGTTGGTGCCATAATGATACACGATCAAGTAAACGCCCGAGGTACATATTGAGAAATGAAATCAGTCATTGATCCTGTTATTGAACGCCATACTTATTTTACTCCTAAAAATATCCGTCTGTCAATGAAGGTTTACGATCGATTGGACGTTAGAATTGATTCACTGAATAGAATCATCTTTGAGTGCAGAAAAAAATCAAATGTTGGACACTCGAGTGCAGAAACTAAAATTTGAAATTGTAAGTTACACAGAATTGAAATCTTATATTCAAAGTTGAAATAAAAACACTTAAGTATATTTTTAGTGTTTTTGTTTCAAATATAATTTTTTATGTAATATTATTTCCTCCATGAGTAACTTATAAACCTCTCTTTAATTCACAATGCATCGACGCGAACTAACTTCTTAAATATATCTTTGCGAACACATTTTTTCTTATAAGTACGTTTTTCATTTCCCTGTAACTCAAATCATTTTCATCAGATTTAATCACTAACTTAAGTCAGGACTTTTATTTTCATTAAATTAATTTTCATTAAAATATGCATTTCAATTCTATACAGCTCTTCCACCTATCAAATTTATTTACGGTTGAGAGAAATGCCATTCAGTGTCAATTTTTTAGCTCGAAGCCATTGCTTCCAATCACGGCGTGCAGAATGGGGCCTCGCGCCGTGATGTTTGCGTAAAGATATGTTAATAAATATCATTAACTGAAGTTTAGAAATGCAGAAGATGTCCGAAAAAAGGTCAGGGGCTTTCCCGGGCGACACGCGTGTCAGGTCGGGGGAGGGGGGGGGAGGCGCGAGGACAAGGCCAATGGCGCACGCATCAAAACGAAGAGGGGAAATGGCTCGTGGGATTCCAAACGCCTCGTGGTGTTCGTTAGAGTCCACACCCGTTTGATGAGTGCAGTGAATAAACAAATGAGACACAGCTCGCGTTGGCCGTTAACGACGGCACGCAGCGCACTTCCGGCCGATCGCAGTGTGTTATATAAATTGCTCAAGGCAAGATTCTTAAAGAAGAGGTATTTCATCTTATCTAAATTAAAAATAGTTGGGATAAACATTTATGCAGATTTAGTCAAATCGGCAAATGTAAAATTGGACATTTTCATTCTAAAGTAGCGCACTCTTTGAGTCAAATACGTAATATTTGGTGATCATAAAATTATTGCTAGATAACGTGGATTTCCTTTCACCACCTCAGTCAAAATTCCATTGATAAAATACCATTAAATAATATTAATTCGTTATTTTCTAAAAAATATTGAAAAGGCAAAAAGTGGGGTGTTTATAGGGTTTGTGGCACCCCTACACCAATTTTAAAAACGGTTTTATTGGCGCCGATGTTGTTTTTGCTTCGGAATTTAATTTCGCTAGCCTTTTAATTCAATTTTTTTCAATGCAGTCTAATATATATATGAGACATGACATTTGCCCGCATTGGAGACGCACCGCTAATGAAGTGCAAATGGTATCTGCTGACCGTAGCTCTGCCGATGGACTTTCAGATCATGGCGAGCGAGGAGGGGTAAGTCGGGCCGGACCCCTGGCCGCGCAACGCTTTGGTAAGAGACGTCGAAGAGTTAGGACGTGCGCACAGAGATAGATCGGTGACGAGTGTGAGACGACAGTTTGCAGAATGTACGCTGCGAAGTAGTTGTTTATGATGAGCGTGCACTACTATTCCCTGGTAGCAAAATGTCGTACGCGGGAACACTATTATCCCAATAACGCCCAACGTAATTTTATGCAATTTTATGCACACCGTCCTATTGTCATCCCTTCCGTCTCAGAACAAGTAAATTAATCTGAATTGCTTACGCGATGTTGAGAAGGCCGAGTAATCAGACGGATAAATCAGAGCCCAAAACTAATATTGTAAATTTATTTTAGTCAATATAGATCAACAATGTTGCGAAAACGAAAATTAGCTTAACGGAAGGACAAAATCTGTTAGAGAACTACGTATGTGTATCAAAAGTCAATAAGCAGATGAACTGGTGTACGTCAGCGAAAGACAAATCCGAGCACTGCGAACTCCGTGAAGGAGCAAATGACGTCATGGCTGACGACAAACCAATAAACACAACTAAGCAGTCACATGGAATTCTTTTCAGGCGGAAGGATGGAGAAAGGAGTGAGTTGTGACTGATACACAGAGGAGACAAGGAGAAATTCATTGACATTTTGGAGATGATAGTTTTCGATTAAACAATTAAAATGCATGTGTAATCATGGAGTATGTTAGGAAATGTCGATGAAATTGACAACACGTAGCCGGGTTGGCCATTGCCTGGTTTTCGATAAAGGATTCTGGGTATATCGATAGGAGAGAATTTTGATGAGTTTTAGTTCTGTTTGTTAGTTGTGATAATTTCGTTGTACGGATTGGTGAAGAAAACTAGATGTGCAAAAACAGCAAGTACTTTCTCGCCTGTACTTTCTCGTAAAATTACGTGAAAAATTGTACATGATATTATTTAAAAATTTATCTTTAAAGAACAGATTTCATTATGGAGAAAACTGTATCTTTAATATTTTAGTTATAAAAAGATTCCGAAAGATTCTGAAATTTTGCACTTTCGTTTTCAAAAAATTCGTTTGAAATCATTTGAAGTACAGTAGCTCACTAATACAATTCTATTTACAAATTAATTCTTACTTTAAATCCTTTGAATTTATTTAATTTTTCGTTATCAGTTTCGTTATCGGCAATGAATTTTTTTCTGCAGAAAATCCGGTGTTTTTTCTGCAGCCTTACATAACTCGCCCTGCATTACCTAAATTGCTCCGTAAATACGTATGTATACGAGAAAGTAAAAACGATCGCTCCATTTTTTGAAAATTTTGAAAACGTCCCAGTGGCTTCATGTAACCACCTCCCAAATTTAAAATATCAGTTTCAAACTCAAGGAGCCGCAACATCAGCGAGTTCGATAAAAGAATGTCAAGCTTGGAGAAGTCGGCAGATCGGTTGAGGCGCCGGCGCTGCCCGCAGGCGGACGGGCACACGAACTTGTTGGGCCGTCATTTGTTTTCGGTATCAAGGACCACAAAACATGAATTCCAGCTAAACCATTTGATAGAGAAACTTTTCTCTAAATTTAGCAACTGTAGTTATCCACTTCTTCATACTAGAACACTGAAATAAAACATTTTCTGTAAAACATTCGTCGTTTTTTCATGCAGCATTACATAACTTTTTCTCTACTCCGGAGCGAACAAGTAACAGATATTTTTTTCAGATACAAACAAATAAAATTTAATTTGTTTAGTTTAGTGGATTAGGGATGCAAATAACAACTGTCGTCTATCTCGTGCGGCCATGGGATCGCCTCCTGAGAACCTTAGATCGCCAGTTTGCCGTCAGAACTGCAGGGCGTTCGCTGCTCACAAATGCTGTGAAGGTCCTGACAAGTATACACCATTGCTTCTATTTTGAGGCTAATTTACTGAAATTGTGTCAATTACTTTTGCCCTTTTCGCTAACACCGACCTATTCCTCTCCAACGCCAACTTCAACTTATTTGTGTCTTGCGCTGGGTGGAAAAATACTTGTTTCAGTAAGCTAACTCCAAACGAGGCGAACGTCTGACGTTGGTTGCAAAGTGTGTAAAACGATCGAGCGCTTACCAGCGCCGTGTGTCGCTCGAAAGCCATTTGGTCAGAGGAAGGGGATCTGCCTTAATTACAGAGCGGCGCGCGGCGCGGCGGCTTCGACAAACGCACGCGGCTCTTGCTCGTTAATAATTCGAGGTTGCGGGGGCGCGCCTTTGATGTCCGCGGGCCGGAGAAGAGGAGACGGCGCCTCGCACATGGTCGACTGCGAAAGGCACCTCCTGGGACGGATTAATATGAACAACCTGCAATGACAAACCCCTTGACACGAAATGACCAGGTCCACGGTTTAGTTTCCTCTAGACCTAAATATAAATGCAGTTTATGATAACAATTTGCACACACTCGAATTAGTTTTCTATACAAAACCTCTATTACATTATTTAATAACACATTTAATTTAAACTGAGTAGATTTATTTAGAAATCGATTACTCTAAAATAGACCGCTTTGACAGATACTTCTTGCCAACTGCTGGCAACATAAACGCAGGGTTTGTTCATCTCTCAATTGTTTAATACGTTCACTTGCAATTGGCTTGCATGAGAAACTAGTGGTGCTACAGATGGCACCGACTTTCCCCTATTCGTTTTCTATTTTCTTTTGTCTCGGCTAGCTATTCGGTCGTGCCACAACCTCTTGCCAGCTGCCAACTGCCCAATGTACATTTTTTGACAATTACTTAACGTTTCGGTTTCCGAATAACAGAATCCAAATATATATTTTTAAGAATATTAAAGAACAGGAAAACCACGTCCAAAATGGCAATTTTCTTTGAAAAATCGGGAGCCGTTTTGAAGAAAATTGCTTTTAAGAGTTATTGTAAATTAGAAATTTGAAGCTCTTCTTCACAGACAATTCTTGAGTTTTTGAAAACATTGATTTGAAATAATCTGAAGCACATCAGATCACAAATACAATAATATTACAAATTACTGCAAATGTGCATAGTAACGGTGATCCTTAAACAAATATACATTTGTACAATTTTTAAGAAAACAAAAAATACCCCAAAATGAACTTAACGCCATATTAAAGAGTACAAATAGCACAATCCCTTACAAAAGTATGAAGACAAAATTTGGAGCAGTTTTTGAGAAAATGGAGTTTAAACGTTTCTGAAAATGCAAAATTTTGAGCTACTTTTCACACAAAACTGTTTAGTTCAAGAGAAATTTTATACGATATTATTTAAAGCACACGTACTCATAAATTCAATAATGTAAGCATATTGCCGATAAAATAAATATTAACTATGTGAGAGACACGTCAAAAAATACATTTCTATACCTTTTGAAAAGAAACAAAAGAATAGATTAATATGGCGTTTATGCCATCTCATAGTGAACATTAATCTCTATTCCTACCATAAGTTTAAAGAAAATATTTGGAGCGTTTTGGAGAAAATTCAGTTTTTGTATTTTTTTAAATAGCAAATATTGCACGCAATGTTGTATGAAAACTTCTAAAATTTTCAAAATAAGGCATATGAACTTAATGAAAGAACTAATTATGGACATAAATTAGTTCTTTTTAAATATAATCTTCAGCAAAATCCTCAATCTTAAATTTGGTAGTTGTAGGACGACGCCGAAAAAATTCAAGCTTCTGCAATTTTCGAAGATTCAGTGTTACCCGCGCAAATCGGACTTGCACCACCTTATAGGGCTATCTTACTCAATTTTTTTTTTAATTTAAGAAAAATATTGGAGCTATTTTTTAAAAAAATTTTGAAGTGTCGGAGTGCTTCATATAAAATATCCTAAAAACTATTGAATGATTTTGAAAATCGCAGAGCTTTGAGTGGAGTCCGATTCAACGGGTTTATCCATTTTTGAAAACATCGTACTTATGGTTTAGTTGTTGTTGTGGTGTTCACAAACTGACAGATGGACGGACGTTATGCCCTTCAATTGATTTTTCGGTATTTAGAACCCACAAAACAGGCTTTCTGGCTACACCACGTGTTATAGGATTTCTTTCTTAATTTCACAGCTGTATTTATCCAATTTTTCGTCATAAGGGTGCAGGAAGGAATTTTTTATGCCGAAAAGCCTCGTATTTTCGTATAACTTTCCCTATATATTACTCTGTATAAACATATGTAGACGGGAAAGTAAAATGGCTTCGACACTTCCTCTTGCATTGTAATCCTCCGACAAAACGTTCATTTTTGTCTCAATCTGTCAAACTGTAGAACAGTAAGACAGTAAGAAATTACTTTTTCGCACTTACTAACGTAAGAAGAGAAAGTATTGTAATCGGGCGTCGTAAAAAGGCGAATATTCGACACGCAAACTCTTAATAGACACTGGTAACAAAAAAGAGGATAAATTAAGTTGCTAAATATAGAAAAAAATCCTCTAACACGTGGTGTAGCCAAAATCCATATTTAGTGCATCCTTCATACCGAAAAATCGATTGACGGTGAAAAACGACTGTCTGTCTTTACCATTTTACATAAAACCATTTTCTCAAAAATTGATATCGCTCTGGCTGATGTTATGGATCCGGAATTTGAAACTGGTATTTTATTTTTCGGATTTTCTTTATATAAAGTTTTTTGGATAATTTCAAAATTTTCAACAAAATGGCTCAAATTTTTTTGATTAATGTTTGTTGTTGAATAGTGTCGAGAACGTTTAAGAAAATGATACAGGTTTCATTTTCGTTAAGATTCTCGATTTTTCGAAAATAGCAACAAAAAACAAATATTGAAAACTACGAAATTGAAGATAGAGATTTTTGCCTCAGACAGTGTCTCTTGTATAAAATGTTAAGTCTGTAAAATATTATTGAAACAACGAGTAGTGTTTATGTAATTGGGGCTTGAAATTCACGAATTTTTTATCTAAAACCGCTTCAATTTTTTTCTTAAATTTTTTTTCACTTATGTAATAGAAGACGGTTAAATAGATGGTTCTAGTTCCATTTTCGGGTATCGCTCGTTTTTTCAAAAATTACAAAAAAACTAACTGCAACGAAGATTGATTGCAATTGATTACAATTGAAGAGATATTTTCGCTTTAGACAAAGTTTGTTGAACAAAATTAGGTTTAAAAAAAAGGCCCTGAACAAGTTTTTGAAAAACGAGTAGTTTTTGCGTAATTTGAATTTGAAATTCTTTCTCAAATTTTTTCTCAAAAATCGCTCAAAATGTTTTCTTTACATTTTCTCCACATAAGCAACAAGGAACGATACAATATATGATACTAGTCCTATTTTCGGGTATTCCTTTTTTTCTAAAATTGCAACAAAAAATTCAAAACTACAAAGCTGAAGATAGAGATATTTGCCTTAGACAAGTTTGTGGTAAATAACTAGTTCTTTAAGAAGGGTCATGCACAATTTTTTGTGAAAGGTAATTTTCGCGTAATTTCTGTTTGCAATTAATGAAACATATATGGGCGTTCCTTCGTACATAACCATGAAAATGTAATATTGCGAGAAAGTATGTGCTGTTGTAGTACCATTAGTTTATTTTAAGTCGTGTAGAATATTCGCACAGATGCAAATATTATTAATCTACATACTACTTTTGATTCCTCTGGCTGACACATTCACGATTCTCTGATTGTAGGGTTGACTCGGTATTACAACAGTATATGAAATTCAAATATAAGGGAATGAATTCAAGACACCAAACACGTACAGTAATGAGGTAGGATATGT